CATGTACCCTACAACTTGAAGTTTAATAATAATAAATAAATTAAAAAAAAAAAAAACAAAACAAAAAAAAACTTTATAATTTTTATGTTCAAGATACTTAATCAATATGAAGAATTTCATTAGACACTAAAATATTCATAAAACCCAAACAAAGACCAACATTTTAAATTTAACGGATATCCTAAAACATAATTTTGGTTGTTGAATTCCGGATTCAAAATGTTATTAAAAAAGAAGAAAACAAACGGTAAAACTGCCCTAGAAAACTAAATAATGGTGCTACTACTATGAATAATAGGGCATTACTAAACTTGATTTCATTTGAAAAGAGATACAAAGACTTTCTGAAAGTAGAACATTCCAGTAAGTTTGTTACTCAAGATGCAAGTGTATACAGTATTTTGCATGAATCAAAAATATGCCTGAGCAATGACTCTTTATAGCCAAGAACACAGCTTGTATATGAAGGCCCAAGTGTTAGGTATTCTATTCCCGGGGACATGTCCATTGTGCTATCGTGTAATACGCAGGTATTCTGTGTATGGCAACATTGCTAGTGCAAGGTCTGCTTTTCAAGGAGAGAAGAAAGGGCTCTGCCAGCAATGTAAGAATCCTATGAGAAATGGAAAACACCAAGGGCTATACAGGGGTACTTTGTAGATGAGATAAACCTCTAATGGATTTGACTGGTAGAAGCAGAAGAGAAAGTCGCTCACTTGCTATGTGTTCACTGAAAGATGAAATCGTAGCCAGAGGAGTTGCAAAAAAAGATGTTTCCCACATGGACTGAGAAAGATGGTGATGGAAATCCAGCTTGGTTCTGAGCAGAGTTTCTGTGTAAACCCACCTTGAGCTAAAAGGCATTCCCCTCCCTCTTTAAAGTATCTTCAGGGAGTAATTAGCTGTCCAATCATTGGTAAGCCCTAATATATTTGGGTAATTTTTATCTTTTTTGCCTGGCCTAAGGCGCCTCTATATTTTTATCAATAGGGTACAATAACTAAAACTGAGGAAAACCTATGATTTCAGCTTTCAGCATGGCTGACCATTGGCTCCCATGCCATCGTTCTTGTTTCATCAAGAATACGGTCCTTCAGAGTTGGCCTTCTAAGAAAATTTATAAAACTGGAGAACTTTATAACTGCAATTTTGAGTTCATGCCCCTCATTATTACCCTAGAGACTGGGATTCTTCGAAGTTTAAGCATTGCCAGGAATCACACAGCCAGCGCTAGAAGCCATGGCTGGCTGTACACTACGTCTCAAGGTCATGCTGGTCAGACCACGCTTGGTTCAAACATGAACCTACTTTACACTTGTCACTGGCTTGTGCTTAACTCTTTACTTGCATGCCTGCCCATATGCATCTTTTTCTAAGAAAACATTAAACCATAATATACTTTAAGTCTCTGTCAACATTTTGTTCAATCTTGGGTAAACAGACAAAGGATTACTATTCTACACTACACTTATTAATTGATATGAAAAATTATTGGGACCAAATGTATTCATTCTGTGTAACACATAGAGAAAAAAATCCAATATATATCATAAACATACATGAGAATTTTGTGAAATAATAACACAATGTGGATATAGTTAGGATTTTATGTCAAATATTTCTAAATTCACCTAAATAACAAATGTAAGAAAGATGTTTTAATGTTGACTTTATATTTTATACTAAAACATGAGATCCTTTTCAGAGGAGATCTTCTATAATATTACTTTCCTGTTTGGTTATTAACCTAAATGATGTTATTCCACTGGATTTCATATGTGTTGCAGGTCCTGCTGGGAAATCATAAAACTGGGCTCATTTAGGAAGAGGCAATGTGGCTATATCAGAAAAGCTGCCATATGTGAAACCTCACTTTATGCCTGTTGAAATTTTTGTATTTCAGGTCTCCCAGGGACGTGTCCATTGTGCTATTGTGTAATTTTATCAGCATGAACTTCTGCTGAATATTTTTCCTTCTTTTCAAAATCCATATTTTAGTAGAGCTAACTTCGAAACTTAATGTTGCAACATCTGTGCCCATACACCTGGGAGCCATAGAAGATGTATCCTGAAGATTATCTACATTTTCTAATCTTATAAAATGCTACAAAAAGAGAGAAAAAGGTTATATATTTTTCCTGGTCTGGATTTTTTTTAAAGGAATCACTTTCTGCCTCCTTAAAAGGATTCTTACAATAAAGGAGAACGAATACTTCTAAAGCTATAAAGAATATCTTTACAAATATAATAAAATACTCATTTGTTTTGTTTACGGATAATTCTTAATACATATGTACAGCTTTCCATTAAGATACTATTTTGTGAATACAAAATCTGGAGCTATAGTCTCAAAATGTTTTCAAACAAGACTTTTTAATAACTAACTAAAAAGAAAGTAAAAAAATTGCTACTTTGAGTTTATTTACTACTTTTCTTTTGTGGATCTATCAACAGCTCAATGGTTTCTTTTTTAATAAAATAGAAGTTATGGTTTTATTTATTTCTCAAATGCAAGATTGAGATACTGACAAACAAGAAAGTGTTTATGAATGGAGAGAAATGCCTTCCACCTGGCTTCCTTCTATTAGTTGTTTTATCTCTTTAGAATAAAATATGTGGCAATGTAAAGAGTTTAGAGCACATCAAAACTGCCTGCCTGAGATGGTGCTGCCAATCAAATGGGTAGAACCAGTTGTTGTTGAAGGATAATGTAGAATATGTGACTTTCTACAGATTCAAAATAGTGAAGAAGGATGATGAATGGACTTAGGGAAATCGCATGTGGATTTTCTTGACTTTATCATCAATGTATCAAATTATGATAAATACTAAATACTTATGGAGTGCATTCTATGTGTCACACATTGTTTTAATTGCTTTGCACATTTTACTCATTACATTTTCACCATAAATATATGTGACAGGTACTTTTGCCATCGTCATCTTACAGATGAAGAACCTGAAGCAGGTAGGTTAAGTAACCTGTCCAAAGTCACCCAGCTTATCCATGGTGGAGCAGAGCTACTGCAGAGCACCATGAGTCTACATTGCCTTCTTTTCCTATGAGTACTTTTCACATAGGGAACAAAATAGCTTTTCACTCTTACTTTGATGCAAAGTATAAGATGACAAATAGTTTTTTGAAATATATTTTTAAACATATTTCTATCTTCACTCCAATCTATTGACTTCTTGACCTGAATGCTGCCTTAATATTTACGGAGTGTTCATTCCTCTTGAGTTTTCAGAAATCATTATAATGCTCACTTATTTTTTAAAACAGTATAAAATTATTTCCAATTTAAACACCAGAAATATTCAAGGCAGGGCCAAGTGAAATATCTATGATAAAGACGGGAGAGAAAATGTGGTTAATTCAAGACTACCAGCATTGGTAATCATCTTACAGTGAAAAGTCAAATTTTAACAAAGAAATTCAACCTCATAGTTGCTAAAAGCAAGGAGCAGAATTTCACCTTGCTTTTTTCCCACATGCTATTCCACCATTATCAGAAAAAGATTGGCATATTTACAAGGAAGAGAGGAAAGGTGGGTATTTACTTCTTCAGTCATCAGAGTAGTGTTTGATGCTTGGGAAGGCTCTGGGAGAAGGGAAACATGTCAATGTGTGCGGAATGCCAGCTTTTTTCTTATAGGTCAAGTCAAAAAGAGGAAAACATACAGCTGTTCGATGTTCCTCTTTACCATTTGCATTTCTTGAAATGCAATAAACAAAGCAAACAATTTCTGCTAGAGAGAAATTAAGCTAACACGCACAGCATTGTCTATTTTACATTTTAAAACTGCAATTGAAGAGAGCAATACCATGTATCTGATTCTGAGTAAGGGTTGTATCAATTCTCAGTTATCAATATTAGACATGAAATAACTTCAAATATACCCTTTATTTGACTTGACAGGAATGTGGAGTCGTGAGTCTGAACTAGGATTTGCAATAGAGAAAAGTTTATTAGAGGCATAGACGTAGAAGAATGTCGTACTGTAAATGCAGTCAAAATTTTAAAAGTGTCAAAATCTCTAACATGGTTTAGCAATTAAACTGTGTCAATGCCCTTGCCAGGAAGAGTTCATAATTTGGAAGCTGTAGTTGCTATTGACCTGATTTTACAATTGAGATCATGTCTGAGTTTTAATTTGGAAACAAAATTGATCACTGTGTTCTTTAAACAAGACCTATCAAGTTATTACTCTGCAACTGCTTTGAAAATACATACTTATTTAAGAGCAGTATGATTTAGGAATACTGTAACAAAAATTATTTCATGAGCTTCTTTTAAGAGATTGCTTTATATTTAAACACTGAATTCTTTAAGTTCTTCAATTAATCCTGAATTACTCAGAATAATTTTTAAAAACATATTTTTAAAAATATTTCTATCTTCACTCCAATATGTTGGCTTCTTCCCTGAATGCTGCCTTAATATTTATGGAGTGTTCATTCCTCTTGAGTTTTCAGAAATCATTATAATGCTACTTATTTTTTAAAACAGTATTCAATATGATTGCATCCTAATATTAGCAAACAAACTTGCAATTTAGGTTCATATAACTTGCTTCTTTCACATAAATTGTTTCTTTCATCATTACTATACGAAGGAAGACAGATGAAATCCATACAAAAAGGTCAGTCTATTTGATTTAAAGCCATTTCAGACTTTTTATGAACTTTATCCCTCTAGCCCATAATTTTAATTTCTTATAGGCTTTCTCAATACTGTAATTTTAAAAATTTAAATTGAATCTAAATGAAGAACAAAAACATCCTTATGCTATATGTAGTTGCTACAAGTCTTCTAAGTATCTTATTTTGCTACTTCTAGATTTTACTTGACTTTCAAAAGGAGATTTGGGGTTAAGGAAATGCTCATTTTCCCCCTTTACAAACTGTAATTGCATGAGAATAACTTGATGGTTTAATTCTAGGCAGGAATCCACAGAAACTTTCTATTCTTGATGAGTTAATTTAAGAGCAGTCCTACCTTTTTCACCTTCTTTTTCTTCTCGGTCATCTGTTAATGGAATCACTTCTGGTTTCTCCACAATCACCGCATCTTCTTGGTTTGATGCAAGTTCTAAAAAGAATGAGACAGACAGACAGTCAGGGATGTCTTAGTTGGAATCATTGAGAGAATACAGAGACTATGGCATAGAAAGTTAGAGTTCTTTCTTCCCCCTTCAAGTTTCGATAGGTACACCAAGTTGAGCACTCTTGTTATCCTCCAGTAATCATTGCTTAAAACACACACATATACCACTCACACACACAGGTATATACAGAAGTCATGGTTCACCGTTTCATCTCATTCTAAGATAACAATATATTTTGGTTTCAGTACCTTCTGTTTCCATATATGAGCTCTGGGATTCTGTTTCAATTTTTATTTCATTCTTCGTTGAATCATTCTCTTGTCCTGTTCAGAACAGTGATTGAAAAATAAAAGAAATGTGATATGCATGACCACAGCTTTATTCCTGACCTTCAGAAACCATGCTTTAATCGTGCATGGAGAGATAGAGAACAGTTCTGAAACTAAAGTGGAAGGCAAAGATACAATTTTTCTAATTGTCAGATTTATATCAATTATTTTCTGAGAAATATCCTGATAATTTAGGAAAAAATCTTTTTTTTTTTTGAAACTGATTTGAAACTGCCATACTTATATAGCTTATCAATGCACAGGATGTGGATAGAGGACACAACCTGGAAATTTTCAAATTTTACAATAATTTCTGGGCTATATGGGTTAACTACATTTAATTTCCTTTTAAGATACAAATATTTCCCATAGTGAGGATTCCTAGAAAATGAAAACACTACTTGCACTTTCATTTTTCCATCAACAGAGCATAAAAAACTTGAGTCATGTGGGCACAAGGGAACTAGGGGGATAACAACTCAGCCATTCTCTTAAGACACATACTAAATACAGCAAAGGTCAGGAGAGAATTCAGCCAACTCTTGATTACTCTTAGGTTGATTATCTAGTAATGGTTTTTCTTCCACACCCCTTGGCTTCTCCTCCTTCCCTCCCCTGTAGAGTTTAAAACATTTAAGTGCTCATTAAGAGAGGAAATTGAAATCTGTCCATTTTGCCTCAGGCTAATGAAAGATTTTGTGCTGAGGACATTTAACTATGGAAATTTTTTAAAAAAATTCTAGAGCTGGGGTTGGTTATAGATGCAAAGCAGATTGAGAGGAGCGTGGACTCTTTGCCTGAGTCCATCCCTGTGGTGGCGTTATGGTTTCAACTTGTCTCTAACTCTTCCTATAAGAGGATTATATTTCCCTGTCTGTGACAAAAATGCAGTGGCCCTTGTGGGGCAAGTGTATGTTCCCACCACGTTGGCACAGGTCTGTTCATGTGACTTGTTTAGGAAATGGCACTGGAACAGACATCATGCGTACTGCAACCAAGCAGAAGCCTTCAGATCCATTGTATGTTGCCTGCAGCTCTTTTGCTCCTAATAGACCATGTTCCTTCATCTAGATCCTGAAGGGAAAGCATGTGGAACACAGTCAAGCAGGGCTAAAAAGAGACACAACCAGCCTTTGTTGTTGAGCCCCCAATGGGATTTTTTGGGGTTATTTGTTACTGCAGCAAAGCTGACTTACATAACTCCTCATCTTAGAGTTTCCTCTCTGATACAATTATTTTTAAACTGCCCAAGATACTACGTCCCCTTGATTCATTCTCTGCTAGCAGGACCCAGATAAGGGAAAAATCATGCCTTTTGTGTAATATCCACTCCTCCTGAGCTCAGTTTTAACCAAAAGGATCCAATAAAATAATTAAAACTAAAGCATGTTTATCTATTTGATCACTGAATATAAAAACCTTAAGCGTTTTTTGATGATTTTCTTTCATCACTCCTGAAGTTCAATGAAATGCCATCTTCATGGTTCTGCAAAATATTTCGGTTTTCCCACTTTCTAGCCTCCTGCCTTCTTTCCTCATTTAGGGATATATCATCTGTCTCTTGGATCTTTCGTTTTCTTCTGCTATATTCTATTTTGTGATTTGATCACAGAAAGGCCTTTTAAAATTTGAACTTGATCAAGACCTTTCCACTTTTGAAAAACCCGTTCATCCTTATTCTTCCCCATTGCCACTCAAAGTTGTAAGGTTAGCTGAGAGAAAGGACGAGAGAGAGAGAGAGAGAGACACCCAAGGTCAGGCGAGTAAGTTTATTAGCCTGCCCGGCTGCCCCACCAGTCAGAGGAGGCAGCCTTCAGCTTACAAAATGAGGGGTTTATATGGTGGAGAGAGACCCTGGGGTTGCTTGTCGGTTAACTTTACCACATATCATCTCATTCGGGGTAAGTTTCAGCTGCATTGTTCGGGGTGGGGGTGGCAGTCCTGGGGGAGCTTGTCCCTAACAAAAGTATGGTCCTTGGACAAGCAACATTGGAATTACCCGAGAGCTTTTCAAAAATGCAGAATTTCAGGCCTCATCACAGACCTACAGAATCGGAGTCTGCATTGTGTTAACAAGATGTCCATGTGATTTGTATGCAAGTTAAAGCTTGAGAAGCACTGGCCTAGAAGATGTAAGTGAATCTGCAAATTATTGATCCCATAAACAATGCCAGACTGTCCCTAGATACTTCACACGTATTATCTCTAATCATCACATTACCCCTGGAAAGTAAGTGCTGTGATCTCAGTTCTGCTTTCAAAAATCATAACCAGCTCCACCTGACTACAATCCCTCTTTTCTTTTTGTTTTGCCTGGAAATGTCTTTATTTTGCTTTTTGGCTTTTAAAATTGAGATCTACTCGCACACAGTAAAATGTACAAACCTTAAGTGTACATCTTTATGATGCTTTAGATATATACACATGAATTTTCCTGTGTAATTACCATTCAGATCAAAAACGATTCTCATACCAGTGGCTTCCTCCTGTTCATACGCCCACCAGGTAACAGTGTGGTGTGTTTTAGAAATTCATTTAAATGTGACATGTACCATATGCTCTTTTGTATTTTAGGTTTTTTTATAACTGTTGTCTGTGAAATTAATTCCAGTTGCTGTGTGTATCAGTTGTTCATTCTTTTTCATTGATATATACTATTCTACTGTCTGCATATACTATGTCATATGAGTGTTGAATTGTTTTCAATTTGGTGCTGTTATGAATAACACTGCTAAAATAAAACTGCTTGAATGTTTCTTTTGGCAACATATTTTAATGGACTCATAGTCCTTGGGTATAAACCAAGTGACAGAGAACAAGTAGGTTATATAAGAGAGAATATATATGTTTGGCTTTACTAGATCCTGCAAAACAGTGTTCTAAAGAATTTGTTCCGTTTTACACTTCCACCAGAAATATATAAGGATTCCATCTGCATCCTTTATTCCTTAGATTATGTCATGCTACTATGGGTCACAAAATATGCAGCAGAAAGCAATTTAAAATCTTTCACCTCAACCCAGTTTCCACCCTTCTCACCTTTGGATACTATATAGAATGATGATGACTGAACTGTTGGTTATTCATTCTACAATGTATTGAGTGCCACCAGTGGTAAATATGCCTGCTGCTGGAGTAGATCTTAAGTAAGATAGATATAGTGCTTGTCCTCAAAAAGTATACAGTTGCTGGAACCAAGCATTATATGTGAAAAAAATTTCTTTCTATTAAGATATAAAACAATTTCCACTTTCTGAGGAAAAAATCACTTTGAGCAGATTTTTGGATTATGGGAAACTGTGTTGAATAAAGACTATATTAGACAACAAAATGAAGGCTGAAATACTCTCAGTAAATTAAATGAAGCCAGGACATTTAACAAGGATTCATGTAAAAATTCTAAAATCAAGTTTCTAAAATCAGTCTCAAGAACTGGGATGGGAGGACTTCAACCCCATTTCTGATAAAACTAGGGCCACGGGTTTTGCATTTCAGATCTGCTACAGATAAGTCTGGACCACAGAATGACTGCATGGAGAGAAGGATTCTGTTATAGAAAGTAAAGGCAATATCTTTAATTAATCTCCTGGCAATGTCTTGCTTGGAGAGCCATTTCTCGCTATGCAAACAAAGAATGTACTTAAAAATTAAAACATAATATAATTATGCTGAAGGAAAATACTTTTGTAAAAGATATATTCAGAAAAACAAAAACTATAGAAAGTGTCTTTGTATTTACCTGAAATATAAGAATTGGTGGGTAAGGAAATGAGAGGATTGAATGAATAAAAAATTGATGGAGACATTAAGAAACAAATAAATGTTTTAGATATCAAACTCAAGTTCACTAAGAAAGCAAGGGTAGTGAGCAAAATGAAACATGAAATGATGATAGATATAGAAAATAGAAAATAGCAATGAATTTCTAATTTAAGGATTACAGAAAGTCTAAACAGCAACATTTCACCAATCTGAAGGCAACCACTAAGTGACATATTATGAGGTTTAAAAAGATTGTAGAAGGTAAAATGCAATTCCACTTTTTTAAACTACATACACAGGACATGTGTCCTTACACACATTTATATTATCAGGGGCAAAAACTGAAAGGCTGTATCTCAAATGTGGTTGTTGAGATTTAAATTCATAGGATTTTGATTTTGCTAACCTGCATTTTATAACAATTGCATATTATATAATTTAATAATTATAATGAAACAATTTCAAAAATAGGGAAAAATATTGAGTGATAGCTTAGAAGAAAAAATTCTAGCTAAAACATATGTGTAAGTTAGGTGTCTAACCAAATTTAATTACTTTTTCTCAGTCTCTACTTGCACTCTAGAAACATTTGAGGCCGGGCGCGGTGGCTCAAGCCTGTAATCCCAGCACTTTGGGAGGCCAAGACGGGTGGATCACGAGGTCAGGAGATCGAGACCATCCTGGCTAACACGGTGAAACCCTGTCTCTACTAAAAAATACAAAAAACGAGCCGGGCGAGGTGGTGGGCGCCTGTAGTCCCAGCTACTCGGGAGGCTGAGGCAGGAGAATGGCGTGAACCCAGGAGGCGGAGCTTGCAGTGAGCTGAGATCCGGCCACTGCACTCCAGCCTGGGCGACAGAGCGAGACTCCGTCTCAAAAAAAAAAAAGAAAAAAAAAAAACAACATTTGAGAAATAAAACTTCTAAGTAATTCTTGTTTCTGCTTAATGTCCCTCTTTTCTGTCTTTGGGCCAAATCACCTGTCTTTCCCTGTGCTATATACCAACCTAATCATCATTTTCTAAATATATTACTTTATTTCTTGCCTTTGTACTTACTTAGCACATGTTTCCAATGGCTGAAATACCCTTTTTCTTCCTTTCCTATATGGAAAATTATCCTCATCTTTCACAGCTAAACTAGCAATTTAGTTTTTTTGTATAGCATTCTTGGAATCACTAGGCAGAATTAATCACTTTCATATCTTTGCTTGTTGAGTTCTTTTGCCCATTC